GGCAAAGGGCACTCCTTTAAAGGCAAGGAAGGGCAGAAATATTTTACGTCAAGTGATAGCGATTGCTGTATGAGTCGTACGATTTTTGAATCAAGCACAGGCAACGCCGGGCCATGCTGCTAGTATTTATATAAAGGAAAAATCAATAGGAAAACTGTTGTTTTTCGCCAACGCGTTTCATCCATTATGGCTTTTTTCAAGACAAAAAACGAAATGAATTCATTGAAAGAAAGGGTATCTATTCTGAACAATACAGCATTGTGGCACAAGGCCAAGAGCGAAATGGGGACGGGATGGTCTTCATTAGCTATCCTAGTCCCAGTTAATCCGACTCACGACCGATTCATTTATAACAATTTTTTGACACAAAGTATCTATGGACAACAAACAAAATGTCGTAAGCAACTAGAATTTAGAAACGCTATTTTATATTCATATGGTCAACTGAAAGAAATACGTCAATTACTTTATGTTTGAAAAAAATATATTCACATGTAGAAATATTGTTTGCATTGTTGTGTTGAAGGATTCAACCGTTTTCTTTTGATTTCTTGATAAATTTGAGGTCTCCAACTACAACAGGTATTGTTGATGTTCACATGAGCCACATTTTTGAGATTTCCATTTCAAGGTCCTTATATTTTGCTAGTTTTTTTTGAAGATCTTAAAAGATACATTGCTCTTTGCTATTTGAGGGATTTGTTATAGAATTCTGTCTTATATCTAGTTTTATCTTATCTACTTCTGTATTTGAGAGTCTTTTGTTTCGCACGATGTTCCTACGGACATTGGCAAGCATGTTGGGTTGAGATGAGGTCTTCTTCTTCTTCTTCTTATTATTATTATTATTATCATACAATCTAATATTTTCACATTTTGTCGCTTCCCTTTCTGTATTTAAAATACTGATGTCTGTATAGTGATTTAATAAGCGTAGCTTAGATGTGGCAGAAGGTCGTAAGTATTGAGCACCTATTAAAGATCGAACTCTCTACTCAGTTGTAAGAGCGGGGACTTTGTACATTTCCAAATTCTTAAGGATCAAAGAGGGTAGCACACTTATCAAAGGCTTTACGCTAATTAATCCACGTGAGCTAAGGTTTCTACATCGTCTGCTGCAATTTTCCAGGATCATTTTGTTTATCAGTTGTTGATCTTTCCAGCCATATGAACCTCTCCTGTCTCCCTTCTGTTCCAGTGGAAGAATGTTGTTTGCTTCGAAAAAAGTGTACGGTTATTATTTCGCATCTCATTTATTTTAGGTTTTACCCCATCCTCTTTCATATTACTTATTTCTACTCTCATCTTTTTACTACTTGAATGATCGGCTATAGAATCTTATATCTATTTTTATCTTATCTGTTTCTGCATTTGAGTCTTTTGTTTCGCCCGATGTTCCTGTGGACATTGGCAATTATGTTTGGGTTGAGATGACGTCTATCATAGTTCTCCATATTTGGTATGCCTGCTTCGTGGTGTTCTTTCGAATGTGGTGAAAAAGGATGTCATCGCTTGTTGAGACTCATCACGAGTCCATTTTGTTTTCTTTCTTTTTATTAGCTGATTCCGCATTGAGTCACTTGGTTAGGAAACGTTCAAGGAAACCGGCAGGATCTGCTTCAAACGATGTCAGATTTTCCCGTGATGTGATCACCCTGGTGCGCTTTTGATCAGATGTCAGAAGACGTGGCACCCACCGACCAGAAACATTCAACATGCCTAGTTCACTGTGCAGCATATGATAAACTCTCACACAGGATATGCTAATAGCATTGACAATTTGATTTATAGTCAATCACCTGTAATTCATCAACACGTGGTGAACATGATCAATGTTTTCTTCGGTTGTAGCAGTTGCAGGACGCCCATTATCGGGTCTTCTTCAAGACATTCTCTTTTCCTTTTAAATTCAGTTTCCCACATTGTTGATAAAACTAGAGCGTCACCTACAAATGTAACAACCATGTCAGTATGAATGTCCTCAGGGGCTTAACCCATTCAGGAGGTAATAGAGAACAACAAAATGCCAAATTTTGTCTATTTTCAAGAGAAATCGCTACTAGTTATATTTGAAGAATTACTGGACAGTTAGATGTCACTTTACATGGAAAGAAACAATGCAGTTGTAAATAACCAGAGTTGAAATTAACGTATGCAAGATTTCAAAGCTTTAATACCAATCCTAGTAATAGACAACCTAGATAACCGTTCATCCCACCCTCGTACCTGGCAAGAAACAATGAAGTTCTTAATAAGAAAAATTGAAATTAATGCATATCAGATTTCACAGCTCGAGCATTATTCCTTCATAATCAGCCTATGAATCTTTTCAGCCGACAATCGTATCTGGAAAGAAACAATGTAGTTATTAATAAGAAGAGTTGAAATTGATGCATGCAATGTCACAGCTCTAGCAACATTCTTTCATAATCAGACTATGAAATTTTCAGCCCACCATCGTACCTGCAAAGAAACAATGCAATTATTAGGAAGTTTTGAAATTAATGCATTCACAGCTCTAACATGACTCTTTCATGATCAGCCTCTGCACTTTTCAGCCCACCTTCATACCTGGGAAGAAACAATGCAGTTATTAATAAGAACAGTTGAAATTGATGCATGCAAGGTTTCACAGTTCTAGCACCATTCCTTCATAATCAGACTATGAAATTTTCAGCTCATGAATGTAACTGGGAAAAACAACGAAGTTCTTAATAAGAAAAGTTGAAATTAATGCATGCAAGATTTCACAGTTCTAGCATTCCTCCTTCATAATTAGGCTATGAAATTTTCAGCCCATGTATGTACTTGGAATCAAACAATAATAATAACAATTGTTGAAATTAGTGCATGTAAGATTTCACAGCTCCAACATCACTCTTTCTTAATCACCTTATGAAGTTTTCAGCCCACGACTAATACCTGGGAAAAAACAATGCAGTTCTTAATAAGAATGCATGCAATATTTCACAGCTCTAGCATCAATCCTTCGGTGTCAGCCTATAACATTTTCAGCCCAACCTCGTACCTGATAAGAAACAATGCAGTTATTAAGAAGTACTGAAATTATTGTATGCAAGCTTTCACTGCTCTAACATGACTCTTTCATAATCAGCCTATGAATTTTTCAGCCCACCGTCATACCTGGGAAGAAGCAATGCCGTTATTAATAAAAAGAGTTGAAATTAATGCATGCAAGATTTCACAGTTCTAGCATTCCTCCTTCATAATTAGACTATGAAATTTTCAGCCCATGGATGTACCTGGTAAGAAACAATATTAATAACAAGTGTTGAAATTAAGGCATGCAAGATTTCAGTTCTAGCATTCCTCCTTCATAATTAGGCTATGAAATTTTCAGCCCATGGATGTACCTGGAAAGAAACAATATCAATAACAAGTGTTGAAATTAAGGCATGCAAGATTTCATAGTTCTAGCATTCCTCCTTCATAATTAGGCTATGAAATTTTCATCCCATGGATGTACCTGGAAAGAAACAATATCAATAACAAGTGTTGAAATTAAGGCATGCAAGATTTCATAGTTCTAGCATTCCTCCTTCATAATTAGGCTATGAAATTTTCATCCCATGGATGTACCTGGAAAGAAACAATATCAATAACAAGTGTTGAAATTAAGGCATGCAAGATTTCACAGTTCTAGCATTCCTCCTTCATAATTAGGCTATGAAATTTTCATCCCATGGATGTACCTGGAAAGAAACAATATCAATAACAAGTGTTGAAATTAAGGCATGCAAGATTTCACAGCTCCAACATCACTCATTCAGAATCACCTTATGTACTTTTCAGCCCACGATTCATACCTGGGAAGAAACAATGCAGTTCTTAATAAGAATTTTCAGCCCACCCTTGTACCTGGGAAGAAACAATACAGTTATTTATAATTTGAAATTAATGCATGCAAGATTCAACTGTTTTAGCATTACTCCTTCATATTCCTCCTATGAAATATTCAACCCACCACCCCATCCATAAATTTGAAGAATTTGGCAACTTTTAACAGTTGACACCCGGATAAGTCACCATCTCCTCCGCGAAGGAAATTCACTGAACTATGGATTGAATAATAAAATACAAAATCTGACATGGCGTCTAACGAATAAAGAAAATGCCCGAGCTTTACATAAATATGTGAATCTGAATTGAGTGGATTAAATAAGTTTTAGAATATTTTGACACGAAATCTTATTTATGGTTTGAGGTTAATTTCTCTAACTCCTCCATTTTCTTTGTCGTTCTTTCTTTGCTTATTTTTATTTGGAAGTCTCTTTTATTTGCTTCTTTTTCGATCTTGCTTCCTGCCTCGACTTTCCTCTCGTTCGTTTAACACGTGAATAAGCATATTAATTTTTGTAAGCCTTCATCGGATGATTCTTTTTTCTGTGTTGAGACATTTTTGAACGGCTTCAAATGTTCAAATGATATCAGCCTAAAAAAATAAAAACCAAAAAAAAAACCTCTGACGTCATGCGACATGACAATGATATTCTTGACAAGAAAACAACATTGGCGAAAGACGTCTTCGAGTCAGTGTTCTTTAGTGTACTCGAAAATAATCGGAAGCGTTGTAAAATCAAAACATAGCTAATAGTTTCGAAACAGATTCCAGATACGTTGTTTATTCCGACGTTCGACGCTGCACAATCTGTCTATGCGCTATTGGGTTTTATCTTGGATAATTCAATATAGATTTCTTTTAAGAGGCTTACGGCTGCAACGCGTTGAAATAGCGGTTCCGATATGACACCTGAAGATAAGTCGAGCCTACTCAGTAGTTAGAGAAGTGGCCACTTGAGAATACTAGATGTTGTAAGCTTGCATGTACGGCTAGTGTGGCTAGGGCCACATCCCGTTGAAATACTGGTTCATGTACGATCACCCAAGTTAAGCTACCTAGGACCTAGTCAGTATGTAGAGGAGTGACCACTTGAGAATACCTGGTGTTGTAAGCTTGCATGTACGGTTAGTGTGTCTAG